GAAATAGCCTTATATCCTCTATCGCCAGGATTGGTGTGCTTTCATATTAGGAGATCATCTCAGGGACTCGGCAATAAGACCCAAAAGAAAGAAATCTTGATAGTGTAGTATTTTTATTCAAAAGGTAAAAGCAAGTAGCACACTTACATGGTAATGTCCAAAAAAGCTGATTCACAGAATCCAAAAAGATGGCCGACAGTCAGATGCATGAACCAAGTGGATAATACGTGGTATGAGAGGTGTCCTTATCCCTAAATAGAGGGAATCAGCTAGCCAATTGGACCTGAAAGCTGACTGTTCATGGTGGTAACAGATATTGTAATGTTCTTATTACGTTTTTCAGATAGCAGGCAGTATGACATGATGGTCAACAAGTAAAGTGTGGCACTCATTTGCATACACATTCTTAACAGGCAGTGAATCAGCTTTAGAACAAGCCCCTACTGACCCCTATAGCTGCAGGCATTATGGAGAAATTAATTCAAAGTAATAGCAGAAGACCTGAAGGCCGTTTCCAAGCAAATATGAGGCATGTGTGTAGAAAAATGTAGGTGTGACCAGATCACAATGAAAAGTGCGAGTTGCTTAAACTAGTATGGTTAATAAGAACCCAAGCCTATTCACTGTATACGCTGTGCACATATAACATACTCCTTGTATCCACAAAATACTGTATGCACTAATTATTGTGCCACATAAAGTAATGTTTAATTGATGTTCATTGACCGGATAATATATATAAAGTGGAACAGATATAATTTTTCATGGCAAGTATATGCATGCTAAGTGTTACTCTTATAGAAATATATTACCACTGACATAGATCACGTGCCCCTTGCCGTAAAGTAGACTGCTACAAAATTACAGTGTTGCAGTCTAAGTGATCAGGGCTTCTTTTTGAACAAATATGGTGATACAGGAGTACTGCCACCTCTGGCATTGGCTCAGTTATCACAGCTCACCGTTGTCACTTGTAAACTCAGAAGTTTCCCTGGCCTGCATCATCCCTATAACAGCAGAAGAGGAGGTCTGCCACAGTGGTAGTGAATTCTCCTCCAAGTATTAAATGCGGTTATACATACAACTGAATAGTTCAGGGAAATGACCATAGACCACTTTTAACACCCCCCCCCAGTGGGATCCATTCAGAATTTTGGAGAGAGAGAGACATTCATAGTGCTTTGTGTATCCTGTGTTAGGCTTCATGTACATGGGTGAAATTAAAATGCTTTTGTCCATGATAGATCTTTCTGCCAGGAGCTGGCAGAAAGAAATCAAGCGTAAAATACTTGACACGTAAATATGCATGTTTTAGCACATTTACAGGTGTATGGTGTTTAGCAGCATATGAACATAAACTCATTCAGCTTGTCATAATATTCAATTATTGTAGCCAGTGGAATTAATTTAGGCACATGCACACATTTATGCGAATCAATTATGCCAGTACTGTAAGCTTGCCTCCAAATGCAGGGCATCTAAAGGGCTCTAAAACAGCAATCCAAATGCCACAATGTGCTGTGTTCATGGGGTTTAATGCTTGTACCCTGTATTGTTTGAAAAAAAAGTTTTTTTTAGAAATTTTATTCACAAGCATAAAATTGTTTAAAAACAAAGTAAAATTGATTCAAACCAGCATTTAAAAGGTTTTTCTTCTGCATTTTCCACGAGGAAAATGCATTTTTCTCTCTGTGGAGAGAACAGATTTTTAGTTTGTTGCCTATCCCCAGCTTTTATGGCAACCTGTGCTGGTTTTCCAGGTCCTCCATCTCCTCTGCTATATTTTTGGATGTTGACCATGGGACTTCTATGCATCTGAACAGTGTGCAGAAGGACCTGAAGCCAGAAGGTCAATGCAAAACATAACATACACCCATCAAGAAGAATACCCACTCAACACAACACCCAACAGAGGAACTAGAAAACAAACTCCATATGCCTTAAGAAACTCATTCAAGCAACATATAATAAGCTAACAAACTGATCAATCAGCGCAATCACTCCTCCATACCTACATAAATAAATACCCCTTGTTGCTAGCTGAACACAAAAACACTGGATCACACCTCACTATCTCAATATATTCACAAATTACTAGCTCAGCACAACTCTCTAAATAATTGTTAGAAACCATAAATACTCCTGTGAAAAACATATATAAGTGACCCCAAAACTCAATGTCCATAAACAGTCCCCTCAGTGACGTGTATCACTTCCGTGAATATCTTCTCCTTTAGTAATATTCAGTGGTCCTCAACCACGCCAGGTGAAAAACCTGCTCACCTCAAAAAAAAGAAAATATGCGTTCATCCTGGTGTTTTCAAACTCTTCAGTCACAGCAGCACATCTTATTTACTCTCGCCTTCCACTTACTCTGAAACCAGGCCAAAAATTATCTGATAACAGAACTTCCCTCAGCCTTTTTTATTGGCTGGCATGGTACCTGGATCTTCTTATCTCCCACTGTCACAGGCTGCCGACCCCCACATTCATTGTCAGTGCATTGCTTGCCCAATCCGTCTCCAGTTGCCAGACCTGTCAGAGTAGACTGAAGGCAGTAAAAGGCTCTGCCTGAGTGTGCAGTGAGTGCAGTGGAGATGGATTGGACAAGCAATGTACTGAAAATGGAAGCGGGGGCTGGCAGCCTGTGACATTAATTTAGAGATTTGAGCTGCACTAGTAATTTGTGAATATAATAAGCTACAGTTGCAAGAAAAAGTATGTGAACCCCTTGGGATTACGTGGAGTTTTGCATGAACTGGGCATAAAATGTGCTCTGAACGTCATCTAAGTCACAACAATAGAAGAACACAGTCTGCTGAACATAATACTACACAAACATTAGATGTTGCCATGGTTTAATTGCACATAACATGTAAACATTCACAGTGCAGGGAGGAAAAAGTATGTGAGGCCCTAGCTTAATGACTTCTCCCAGAGCTAATTGGAGCCAGGAGTGAGCCAACCTTGACTCCAATCAGATGTGTTGCTGACAGCTGTCCTGCCCTTAAAAAAACACACACATGTTTTGGGTTTACTGGTTTCAAGAAGCACTGTCTGATGTGAACCATGCCTCGCAGAAAAGAGCTCTCAGAAGACCTACGATCAAGAATTGTTGACTTGCATGAAGCTGGAAAGGGTTACAAAAGTATCTCCAAAAGCCTTGATGTTCATGTGTCCACGGTAAGACAGACTGTCTACAAATGAAAGTTTAGCACTGTCGCTACTCTCCCTAGGCGTGGTCGTCCTGTAAAAATGACTGCAAGAGCACAGCGCAGAATACTGTATGAGGAGGTAAAGGAGAATCCCAGAGTGTCAGCTAAAGACCTACAGAAATCTCTGGCACATGCTAACATTTTTGTTGACACATCTACAATAAGGTAAACATTAAATAAGAATGGAGTACATAGGAGGACACCACGGAGGAAGCCATTGCTGTCCAAAAAGAATATTGCAGCACGTTTGAAGTTTGCAAAAGAGCACCTGGATGTTTCACAGCACTACTGGCAAAATATACTGTGGACAGATGAAACCAAGATTGAGTTGTTTGGGAAGAACACACAACACTATGTGTGGAGAAAAAAGGCACAGCACACCAACATCAAAACCTCATCCCCACTGTAAAACATGGCGGAGGGAGCATCATGGTTTGGGGCTGCTTTGCTGCCTCATGGCCTGGACGGATTGTTGTCATTGATGGGAAAATGAATTCCAGAGTTTATCAAGACATTTTGCAGGAAAAACGTACGACCATCTGTCCGCCAACTGAAGCTCCGCAGAGGATGGGTGATGCAACAGGACGATGACCCAAAGCATACAAGTAATTCAACAAAACAATGGCTGCAACAGCACAGAATACGCCTTCTGGAGTGGCCCAGTCAGAGTCCTGACAACCCGATTGAAATGCTGTGGCATGACCTTAAGAGAGTGATTCACACCAGACATCCCAAGAATATTGCTACACTGAAACAATTTTGTGAAGAGGAGTGGTCCAAAATTACTCCAGATCATTGTGCAGGTCTGATCTGCAACTACAGGAAATGTTTGGTTGAGGTTATTGCTGCCAAAGGAGGGTCAACCAGTTATTAAGTCCAAAGGTTCACATACTTTTTCCTCCCTGCACTGTGAATGTTTACATGTTATGTGCAATTACACCATGGCAACATCTAATGTTTGTGTAGCATTATGTTCAGCAGACTGTGTTCTTCTATTGTTGTGACTTAGATGACGTTCAGAGCACATTTTATGTCCAATTCATGCAAAACTCCACGTAATCCCAAGGGGTTCACATACTTTTTCTTGCAACTGTAAGCTGTATTTTTCAGTAGCTACAGTCAAGTCAATTAACAAATTTCTGTATGAAATGCCTAACAATATAATAATCATGAAGACAAGACTCTTGGGCAAGCAAAGACTCAGTAAACTGGTGGTTAGTGAGTGTTTTCATGGACTCGACTGATTTTGAGCAAATTTTCATTCAAGTACCATGTCAATGGCTCAATTTCCATAGAACAAATATTCTGCTTCTTGATTAACTTTAACAAGTGCATGTGCATAAGACTAGCTATGATTTTTCTCGGCAAGGCGTGAATTCAAAGATTAGAAATGTGTTCATTCCCATTAGACTCCCAAAATTTTCCATCGCTGTCCTTTGATTTTTTTCACTTGCTATGGTCAAAACCAATTGTTGAATAATCCCCTTTAACTCTTAGTTAATCGAACTAACATTCTGAAAAAGTCCATTTACAAAATTCGACTGGTGTAAGGCCAGTTTAACTCCTCCCACTGTAATTAAAACCTACAGAAGTGACTTCTAGTAATGCATATATCATTATATACGGATAAAAAGAGTTAAACATTTATATAATAGCAGAACAATTTCACAATCATTCTTTAACAGATTGTTGATCTAAATATATAAAAAAATGTAATTCTCACATAGTAATGCATATATTTTTTATTCTCTAAACAGGAAAGGAAATCTAAAAACTCTATAAAACATGAATCTAAATCAAAAAAGGTGGAATGAGAACTACCTGGAAGAAATGCTACTTTTAACTTCTCAAAACCTACCAATGATTAAAGTTGAAGATAATTACACTATTGTCAAGGAGCTAGGCAGTGGTTCTTATGGACATGTACTACTTGCAATGAACCAGTCAAGAGGTAAGAATGAAACTTTTGACACTGACCTTTCTTGTACAGGTAATTGAAGTTGTCATCCTCTGTACAAATGGGCCCTGAAGACACGGAGCTGTAATTGTGCAATGCCTTGCTCAGTAGACCTGTATAAATAATTGTCAGTGTTTTCTTTTATATGCATACGGTGTGCATATACAAAATACTATACATGGGATAGCAGGGTTATTTGTTGGTTTACAGTAGGTTACAGTGACCTATGACAACCAGTCATCTTCCAGTGGCCTAATTATAATGGTTTCTGCTTGGTTGTTGAGGTTCCTGTATTTTTCACTCAAGCTTTAATCTTTTGCTTTGCTTAGTTAAATAAGCTTTCATTTTCTTGCAATACATTGCACATATGTTAAGGTTTGCTTTTGGACAGGGAGTGGTGACCTGTAGCTACCAGAGTGAGATTATCTTTAGGGATTTCATTTTTTGGGGGTCCAATTGCTTTCTATATGTTACTGCATTTTAAACTATTCACAAAAACATAGCATGAGAATGTAAAACAACAACTTGTTGGCATGGAACATGTGGATTATTTAATTGAATTTGCACGTACCTAAAATGCAGAACTGCAATACATACTTTTGTTTTACCTTCTATTATAAAGGAAACTTGTACTGAAAGAATTAATAATGGTGTAAGTGCTTACCTACATCCGAAAATGCTTTGCTGTTCCTGGCTTCAGTACTTTCTGAACTGGAACAAGCAAGCAGATCAGAATGAGGAAGGGTTCAAACATTTTTATTGCCGTATGTTTCTAAATTGGACAGATTTCCAATTGATCCTCTCAAGAGGATGCAAGAGGAGGTAAAATTATTGCATCAATGTAAACTAAAATGTGATATACAGACAGCAATAAAAGTCAGACATAGGTTCTAACCTCAATTTAATGCAAAAAGAAGAAAAAAAGATCAAAAAGAAAGAGTTTGCTGTAGCTTTAAAAAAAAAAATTATCAAAGACTTCAGCACTGTTGTGTGTTATTGGCCTTATACCCAGAAAATAAAAGCCAATAAGCTTGATTTAAAAGTTACAAAGCTGACATAAAAGCAAGGGGGTGTTCGTATTCTCTTGTGCAGGAACACAGCAGTCAGATGCACTTTGGGGTCAGAAATTTGAAAGGCATACAAAAATGTGGAATATTTTTGCAAAAAAAAAAGTAATTGTTCTTCATTTGTTGATTCTATTAGTACATAATTATTCATCAAGATGGGCGCCTTCATTTTGAGATGCTGTGGCAACAAGCTGTTAATTTTCTGCGAACACAAAATGAGCACTGTACAAGTGGCACATCTTTTACATACCATTCCCAGTAGGCACTACAAATCTTGGCACTGCATCACAATAGCTTCACAAACAAATTTAGATCATGCACAAAGCACAGAAAGTACTCAATGCTGTATGTTACCATAACACTGCATCAATATTGAGCGTTTATCTGGTTTAGTATGTCCCACTTAGAAGATCTGAGAGTGAACCACTCAGCAATTTTCCTTTCTTTTTTTTTAATTTTAACTAGACTGTTACATGAAACATGGGGCTGGCTTTTTACTCTGATAACATGATGACCTGAGAGTGACGGTTAGTACAATAAGTCCAGGGGAGGTCAGCAGTAGTGATAGTGACTGACAAGGAGGAAAGTGCGTAAGCAGCTGACGTGTGGGATAAGAAAACAATTGGCAATAGGATCAGCAGAGAACAGATACTAATGTACTGTACTAGGGACACATTCTGCTATAAGAAAAACAGCATAAACACAAACAATTAAAGTTGACTGACTATATGGGAAAGCAGTGATAAATCAAGTGGTACAGTCCAGTTAAAGGATCAAATGATGGAAATCTCCAGACTTTGTAAGAGACATCATCACTTTTACATAATATTATTACCAACATGAAGTTTGCTTTAGGTACAGTATGCTCTTCAACAAACCTGATAAACTTAGAAGGATAAATCAAGATGTGAAACTTTGTAGAAAACATCTGTTAAATATACTAGAAACACTGTGGGCAGCACAGTGGCTAAGTGGTTAGCACTTCTGCCTGGCAGTGCTAGGGTCGTTGGTTTGAGTCCCAAACTACAGTACCTGCATAGAGCTTGTGGGTTCTCCCTGTGCCTGTGTGGGATTCCTCTGGGTTCTCCGGTTTCTTCCCACACGCCAAAGACATGTTGGTAGGTTAATTGTCTCCTGTCTAAATTGGCCCTAATATATGAATTTGAGTTAGGGACTTTAGATTGTTCACTCCTTGAGGGATAGGGACTGATGTGAATGTACAATATATGTAAAGCGCTGTGTAATTTGACAGTGCTATGTAAGTACCTGAAATAAAGTAAAAAAAATAAACTGTAAATATTCTAGTACGTGTGCTGGGGCATTGGCATTTTTTTATACATTTAATGACCACCCTAGGCAAAAAAAGAGACAATTGTAATACTCTACACTGAAATTTTCAGTGAAAATTCAATTGTGAGTAGTGAAATATGTAACTCCAATAAAGTCATTTCTATGAAGTTTCACTTCCAGCTCAGAACAATCATCCCTACACTGATCAGGCCCAATAGACAAGGAGCCACATTTAATTGCTTTGAGTCAGCAAAAGCCATGTTGTACTGTACAGTGAACCAGTTGGGGATAGAAACATTCATTCTCTAGCTCTGAAGATGTTTTTAAAATGCTGAACCTCCACTTCTACTAATCAGTGATTCATTTTACCTCCCCCCCTTCCTTAATCAAGAGGGTAGACAGCAGGACCCTATTCTTTTTTCCAAACACTATGATTTGGGGCAAAATTGGCAATGTGGTATCTCCATACCTATACCTTAATAAAACTGAAGCACCATTTGGAACAGGGTCATTAGTGGACAAAATGTAAATAAAGCAGGAGTTTTTCTTTGTCATAGAGCAATTGGTAACTTGTGCCACTTCTGTCCCTTTACAGGCAGGTGGTTTAATGTTACCCCATATGCTGCCAGCCCTCCAGTCCACATGTCTTGCAGAAGTTCAAAGTCTAAAGCCTTAATTAAAAATGAACCTAAAAGGAATACGGGAGCTGCCATCGCTGAAAATGTATTTAACATAATAGTTGTCTGGCTGTAAGTGGCTTCTATACATTGATATCACTGACCCTGAACAAGATTGCAGCAAGCAAAATCAGACTGAAATATGAACTCCATTTTTGCATACTTGTTTCTGGTCAATGATTATTTTTAAATATTTATCTTTTTTTTTTTTTTTATAATGGAGATCACTGACTGTTTTGTGTGCTGGGCTGACTGCCATAAAATAGTCCTTCTTTCCAGTGCGGAACTTCTGTGCTACAATCCCTCATTAATCAAAAGAGGAATTATGTGTGTTTCCTATTATCTATTTTTGGCTATGACTGTATATATAATACAAATTGCATAGAAAAATATATACATAAAGTGCTGTGTGACAAAATTAAATGAACAAACTGCAATACAGACCCTTATGCAAGTCCCATTAGTGTAAACACTCATGACATGTGAAGTCCAAACGGACTTTCCAAGAGTCTTCTACATTCTTTATTCCATAACAGCCAGTCCAATGTGTCACTTTGAATAAAACTAAACCCTTTTTGTGTACCTCCAGTGCACCGAAGCTTCACTCAGGGTGTACTCCCACCTCACTGCCAGAACCCATAAAAACCCAAGTTCAAACTCACTTTATCCCCCCTGGTGTTAGGGTAGTATTCCAGCACCCTAGGCAGTATCTCAATTCACATCCATGATTTTTTCTCAAAACAGAAACGGACTCATAGTGCTCTCCATTTATTTATTTAAAACAAGCAAAGTTAAAAACACACATTCACTGATGCACCCTGCCTTGTGCATACAGGGATATGTGACAAATTGCAGCAGGTTTTTAATCTCTGCTGCACTCCTCATATACAATACCTATGATTCTTAGTTTGCTTTACCATAACTCTTCCTGTTGCATCATGACGTCACCTTGTAATTCTACCCTACGTGTTACATCATCAGGGGCTTGGAGTGGGATGACATGCCAATCATACTTAAAGTTTTTTTCTTTGTTTCCATGGCCTCATTTCTAAATTGCAAAATTTGAAGTTCACTGTTCACTGTAGTTGGTGGCCAACTACAGGAAACGTCTGAGCTCTGTGATTGCCAACAAGGGATTTGCCACCAAGTACTAAGTCATGTTTTGTGAAGGGGATCAAATACTTATTTCCCTCATGAACATGCAAATCGGTGCATAATTTGTTAGACATACATTTCTTTAGAATTTTTTGTTGCTATTCTGTCTCTCTGTGTTACAATACACCTACCATTCGATTTTTAGACTGATTATTTCTTTGTGAGTGGGCAAATATTCAAAATCAGCAGGAGATCAAATTTAATTCACTGTATATACCAAGGAGATCATTGACTTTTCTACACTAGGCTGATTTTGCCAAAACATTCCAGTGATCAATCTCCTATTCTTAGCATAGCTTAACCAATGCCATAAAAATTAATTAATCGCCTTGTTTATTCTGTATTACAGGAAATCTAATGGCGCTGAAGTTCATGCAGAAAAACATAACTGACCTTCACGGTTTCCTTATTGAATACTGCGTATCCCTCTGTTTGTCAACTCATCCATGCATTATCGATACCTTTGGAATCGCTTTCCAGACAGAAAGACATTATGTCTTTGCCCAAGAACTTGCATATGATAATCTCTTCTCCCTTTTGAAGCCTCAGGTAAATAGAGATCTGACCAGAGATAAATCCTGTTTCAATTTTATGTTTTGCAAGTCTTTAGAATCCTGTATAATACTCCAACTTGACTCAGCTATCGTTAAAGTATATTTTTCATACAGTGCTGTAAAAAAGTATTTCCCCAGTCCTGATTTTTTTCTTTTTTTTTGCAAATTTGTCACACTTAAATGATTCAGATCATCAAACAGATTTTAATATTAAACAAAGATAACCTGAGTAAATACAAAATGCAGTTTTCCAACAATTATTTCATTGTTGATACTAACATGTTTTTATTGTGTTCAATAGATGCTAAGTCGTGCATGAACTGTGATTAACCATATTTTATGGAAAGTTCAATTAAATTTCACTTGCCACACCCAGGCCTGAGAGTACTGCCAGACCTGTTGAACCAAGAACTCACTGAAATAGAAGCTGTCTGACAAAGTGAAGCACGCTAAAAGATCTCAAAAAGCAACAATTCATGCTGCAATCCAAAGAAATTCAGGAACAGACGAGAAACAAAGTAATTGATATGTATCAGTCTTGAAAGGGTTACAAAGCCATTTCTAAGGCTTAGGGACTCCAGCAAACCATGGTGAGACATTATCCACAAATGGAGAAAGATTGGAATAGTGGTGAACTTTCCCAGGTGTGTCTGGCCTACCAAAATTACTCCAAGAGCATGATGACGACTTATCCAGAAGGTCATACAAGAATGCAGAACAACATCTAGAGAACTGCAGGCCTCATTTGCCTCAGTTACGGTCAGTGTGCATAATTCAACAATATGAAAGACACTGGGCAAAAATGGAATCCATGGGAGAGTTCCAAGGCGAAAGCCACTGCTGACCAAAAAGAACACAAAGGCCCATCTCACATTTGCCAAAAAACATCTTGATCATCCCCAAGACTTTTGGGCAAATATTCTGTGGAATAATAAGACAAAAGTTAAACTTTTGGGAAGGTGTGTGTTCCAATACATCTGGTGTAAAACTAATACAGCATTTCATAAGAACATCATACCAACAGCCAAACATGGTGGTGGTAGTGTGATGGTCTGGGGCTGCTTTCAGCTTCAGGATCTGGACGACTTGCCATAATTGATGGAACCATGAATTCTGTGCTCCACAAGAAAATCCTCAAGGAGAATGTTTGGCCATCGGTGACCTCAATCTTAAGCGCATTTGGGTTATGAAGTAGGACAGTGATCCAAAACACACCAGCAAGTCCACCTCTGAATGAATCAAAAAAAAAAAAAAAGCAAAATGAAGGTTTTGGAGTGGCCTAGTCAAAGTCCAGAATAAATAGAATTGAATCCAATTGAGATGCTGTGGCATGACCTTAAACAGGCCGTTCATGCTTGAAAACCCCCCAGTGTGGCTGAATTAAAACAATTGTGCAAAGAAGAGTGGGCCAAAATTCATCCACAGTGATGTGAAAGGAAAGACTCATTGCCAGTTATTGCAAGTGCTTCATTGTAGTTGTTGCTGCCAATGGTGGCACAACCAGTTATTAGGTTTAGGGGCCAGTTGCTTATTCACATAGGGCCAGGCAGGTTTGGACAGATTTTTTCCCTTAAACAAAATCATTATTTAAAAACTGCATTTTGTATTTACTGAGGTTATCTTTGTGAAATATTAAAAGTTTTTTGATTATCTGAATCATTTACGTGTGACAAATAGTACCACTGGATTAGTGTAAGGCCAATGTGGTGCCAATATTTAAAAAGGGGTCAAAATCTTTACCAAGTAATTATAGACCTGTTAGTTTAACATCTATAGTTGGGAAGATACTGGGGAGTTGAATAAAAGACCACATAGATGAGTTCTTGCTGGAAAAAATATTTTACGCAACAGATAGCATGGGTTCATGAAAGACAGAAGTTGTCAAACAAATCTGATTTCTTTTATGAGGAGGTGAGCAAAACCTTGGACAGAGAGGGTGGCGGTGGACATGGTATACTTGGATTTTGCAAAAGCGTTTGACACAGTTCCCCACACCTGGCTAATTTGTAAGGTAAAGTCTACAGGCTTGGAAAAATCTGTATGTAAATGGATAGAAAACTGGCTAAAAAGATTGTATTCAGAGAGTAGTGGTTAATGATTCATACTCTGAATGGTCTCGGGTTGTCAGTGGTGTACCCCAAGGTTCAGTGTTGGGACCCTTTTTAATATATTTATTAACGATATAGGGTCTTGGATTTAAAATCCCATTTCAGTCTTTGCAGATGACACCAAGCTGTGCAGTGGAATAATGTCCTTACAGGATGTCTTCAACTTACAAGCCGACCTCAGTGCACTGTTTAATTGGGCAACTATGTGGCAAATGAGGTTTAATGTTGATAAATGTAAGGTTATGGACTTGGGGGCTAAGAATATGCATGCATCATACATACTAGAGGGGGTACAACTGGGGGAATCAATGGTGGAGAAGGATCTGGGGGTTCTGGTAAATCACAAGCTTCATAATGGCATGCAATGCCAAGCTGCAGTTTCTAAATCAAGCAAAATCCTCTCAGGATCAGGAAGGAATTTTTTCCCCTGCAGGAGCAAATCGGATCATGCTTTGCTGGGTTTTTTGCCTTCCTCTGGATCAACTATGGGTATAGGATTATAACTTTTTTTTAATGGTTGAACTGGATGGACTTTTTTCAGTCAGACTAACTATGTAACAGCACTGTACACATATAGAACAAACCCCTTATTTTTAAATTTCTCTGCAGCCTATCCAGAGAAAAAGTAGACAGGTACCTGTGACCTGTCCAAAGAAGTAGTATTTCAAACAAGTACTTGTCCAAATGATAACCGTGGCTTTCACCCTTTGACCTGCACCCTACTGGCATTGGCTAATGAGCTGCCTGCTTTGTTGGCAGTAAATTATACAGATCACTGTGTGAAACTCGTGGTTATCAACTGGATAGGTACAATGTCCTAAATAGCCATTTGACCAGGCGACAGGGGCAAGATAAAAAAATAAATTTCCATTCCTGTTTTTCCAATTCTACTCATTTCCCACAGCTTTTTTGAAGGGGTCTCAACGTCTATAATGGATTGTTCTTTTATTTTTTTTTTTCGTAAGGCTGCATTCACACCTAAAAACTTTTCATGTGGTGCAGTTGGATGTGTTGCAATTTATCAATATGGAAGATGTGTTTTACTGAAAACAGCACCAGAGGCCCAAGATAAGACCAGTAGCCACCCAAAAACTTTGAATCACATTCAAGTACTTGTGTATAGTAAATCACTAGTAGTCAGCTGTATAGATTTATGCAAATTTCTCTCTTTTTTTTTTTCTTAGGCTGGTGTGCCAGAAAGTTCAGTGAAACGTTGTGCTATCCAACTTTCCAGTGCATTGGATTACATGCACAAAAAAGGTCTGGTTCATCGTGATATAAAGCCTGAAAATATTCTTATCTTTGATAAAGAGTGCCGCCAAATTAAATTAACTGATTTTGGACTCTCTTGTCGAAATGGAACACTGTTGGAATCGATGCCTGAAAATTTGCCTTACACAGCCCCCGAGATGTGTCATCTTGGAGCAGCAGACAAGCTAATTGCACATACAAGTTTAGATACATGGTCATTTGGGATTCTGCTTTTTTGCACTTTAACTGGATATTTTCCATGGACTTCTGCAGTTACCACTGATACCCATTATGTAGAATACACCAAATGGCAAAGAGGCAAAAGGATTTTCCGGGTTCCAAACCAGTGGAAGACCTTTAGTGAAGAAGCTTTAGAAATGCTAACAAAATTGATTGCCCCTGATCCAGCAAAGAGATGTTCTTCCACAGAAGTCCTAAAATATCTCAAAGTACCCTGGAAGGTCATCCTTGATAATAACAAGGCTACCAATTCTAATGTTTTTAAAAACAAAAACTGTGCTTGGAGATAGGCACAAGAGTGTCTGTATTGTAACATTGTTGGGACTCTATTCTGGGCTAATGTCATACATATCCTGACTGAATCAGCTAAAATGCATAACCTACTTCAAATATACTTTGTGTTTCACCAGACATTCAACTTTTTTGGTTGGCTTAAGACATTGGTACTCCAAACACACAACATAAAATGTTATCTCTAATATATTATGACTGATAACCTGCCAAATGAACAGTCCCTCCAGAAACCTTTTTTCTTTCTTTCTTTTTTAACAGTCAACTCATTTTGGTAGGCAAGCTCTCATTCCTTTTGTTTTAGATAAAGCATTTGTATTTTATAATACTATTACATCCCCTTTATATTGTTATTTTGTATAGTGATACAAAAGATGCTGCTGATGTAGAAATGTTAGGTTCCCATGGATTTTACATGCACCTCTGCTGGTTTGTGTTGCAATGCTTGTGAGTGAGGCACTGGGAGAAGCAATTTCAATGGGAAAACCCAGTGAAAATGGAAGTGTGCTCCATAAATCCTTAGAATGATGATTGAATGGGGAGTTTGCATGAATGCATATGTGTTACGTTACCATATATGGAAGGAATTTTTTTTAACTTGCTGTGAAGTAATTATTTTATACAGGTACACATTAATAAATCTCATGGTTTAACATTCAATTCTGTTGCAAATTTTAGACAAACAAACTAAGTCTAAACCACCGGTTCTCAATTTTCATATCAAGGGTTAACCATTTGCTCAAATATATTAACTATAGTGGAAAATGACTTTTTATGCATCTCCTGATTCTACTAACACAAGTGTATTGAGAACATGCATATTATGTACTGTTTAGGACAAATGTAAGGCCTTATATATTATATGGGCACTATGTAACCTTTGATTGTAAATGCAAGGAGCATCAGGCTTGAACCCCTATGCCTCCAGTTTCCATCTGGGGGTGATAGGACTACTTTCCTTCCAAAGTAAAGATCCATAGTTGACATTACGTCCAACATGTAATACCATGAGACAGTATGGATGATGGCTAAAGAAGATGACTCCTGCATTTGTTAATCTATTTTTCTTCAGATTTTGGTTACTTCAAGGCATTAATATCTCTTTTGGCATGTAAAGGGTTTTGGCAATAATGAAGGTAATTCCTGTGTTTTATAATGCAAAAAACTAAATTCATTCATGAGCAAGTCATTTAGGAGGGCAAGCACCTGTTCCACTTAAAAACGAGGGTTCAACAGGTAGCAACATACCGCCCAGAGAATATGCAATATAGATCTTTCCACGTGCACCAACTGGGATTGTACAATCAGTCTTTCTCAATGCCATTGCATGGCTGTGAATCTTCTCATTGAAGGGAGGCAGTGGAAATTTGTAAAGGGCAATGTGCTCGCCACATAACGTCACCTGTCTGCATGTCCATGTGTGTACAGTCCTGCCCAGAAAGTGGAGCTGCATCGACATGTTTCATTCTAATCAGAAATTTCTCAGGACGTACTCAAACTGTATGCACCTACTTAAATATCCCCATCAACTTATCTCTAAAGGTTCCATAACACCTACTTCACCACTATGAGGTTAGTATGTATAACTCTGTCTGTCTCTAAATATGCATCTACAAAACAGGGTCCTATAACATAATATAAACACATTTTAAATGGTTAACCACCTATGAGGTTTGGGTTCAAGGAACATCAATCTAAATTCTTTATTCAACCCCTAGGGGTTAAGGTACCACAGGTATAAATTTAAAAGCATTTCTTTTGTAATAAAACATCAAAATCACCACTTGATTTGACTGATTTATAATAAATATATTGTCTTCACTTTTAAGCCTTTTGGTGATCCATTATGATGCTTAGCAAAATGTTCCCCCAAAAGACTTTTGTCTTTCAGGTAATAATACCATGCCAGGGATATAATTACATTTCTACCTCCACATCCCTTATATAACATACTGACCAATACCTCCTCAAAGCTGAAGAGGGAAAACAAAAATGTGTGGGATTTTCAAGGTTGATACTCTCTCAAAGAAATATCATTATTCACATATGGAAAAATACCTTGGTTTATTGGCTGTCAATGAACAAAGAAATGGCTGTTATTAAAAAGGTAATAGTAGCCTCACTGTCATTAAAAGTGCACAAATATGCAATATACAAAACATTATAGCCTCTCTGAACGCAACCCGTAAAGAACGATCCATAGCATCATAATGTAGCAAATTCCATCCAACAATATTTCCAGTACCACCAAAGATTCCAATGTGACTGGAATATACCTGAAAATGACAAAATATGCGAACGAGTTCATATAATTCAATGAAATTTGTTTATTGCTTCTTCAGAAGAGAGGTTCTAGTGAACAATAGAAATAGCCTCCTGCACACAAGCATGATGTTGGGACCCCGATGCTTTTCATTCATCCACTTCTCCAAATATGGAGAAAGATCACTACACTTTGCTTCTCTCTGAGGACTGGGGATGACCTGGTAACATGTTACTACAAAAGCAAAAAAGAGAAGGCATGCCAGCCTAGAGTATTACCATAACAAACCATTGATTGATAAGAGCATAATGGATGTATACTCACAAACAACTGTGAGACACAAACTCTTCAAAATCATCAAATACAATAGTGTTAGGTCTCCTCCATGTGCTCTTTGTCTGGGGAAGATGTCACCAAGAATGATTCATCTTACGTGTTTCGAGGGGTGCTTCCTCTTCTCTAGAGCCACAGGGTAGTTCTAGAGTGGTGTTCCAGAACAGAGGTAGAAGAACAAAAGTAAAGCATCTTATAGGGCATCTAAACCTTTTAAAGAAAAAAGGGTGTTATGCATTAACAGCATGGGACATCCAACAAAATAATCATTATGGTAACAATAAACCAACAATAACTTAATATTCGAATAGAAGTATGAATTTATACATTTACTAAAAACATTATCTAAAAACCCTTGGCACATGGAGATATGGGAACCATGTAAGCCCCAGAAAGTAGATCCACTCAAGGCTCTCCAATAGGGAGTAGGAAGGGGAATGGGACAGTGATCTTAAACCTGGATAGTTTCTGTGTGTACATGTCCAGACTATATATAATCTGCTAGTCAGTGTTAAGGGTCAATATGGTAGAGTGTATACTGCCCCCAGAGTCCAGTAATGAGGGCAAAAAATATCCTGCAGTGCAGCCTGGATAAAAAAAGCGCTGCAGGATATTTTTTGCCCTCATTACCGCACTTAGAAACTCTGGGGGACAGTATATACTCCATCATATAGACCCTTTCCACTGACTAGCAATTTATATATTGTCCAGACATATACCCAGGCCAGGAGGGTTTTGATTGCCCTCTCTGGGCCAAGCACATTTTGGGGGTTAGACTATAAGTATATCTAAATGTGTGTAGATAGATCATTTCTTTTCATGTTTCACCAAAATGTTGTTGGCAGACATTGATTTGTATTTCTGTTCAGTTTTATGTACGACACATTATTGTGATATCATATGTATTTGACTGTAAAGTATGTAATATTCTTTATCACTGTAGCTGGAGTTGATATATCTTTGAGGACTTCCTAGTCCTAAAGAAGCAGAATATTGACAGAACACAGGCACAACATTATATTGTCAGAACATTTGGCCTTTTTATTTTCTGTTTCATACAACCCGTATGTTTTATCTATTTTACTTATTTATTACAGGTACTTATACAGTGCCATCAATTTCAACAGCGCTTTACATATATTGTACATTCTGGGCATACTGGGCAGCACAGTGGCTAAATGGTTAGCACTTCCGCCTGGCAGCACTAGGGTCGTTGGTTCGAATCCCAACCACGGCACCACCTGCCTGGAGTTTGCATGTTCTTCCTGTGTCTGCGTGGGTTTACTCCTGGTACTCCGGTTTCCTCCCACAGTCCAAAGACATGCTGTTAGGTTAATTGGATCCTGTCTAAATTGGCCCTAGTATATGTATGTATGAATGTGAGTTAGGGACCTTAGATTGTACGCCCCTTGAGGGTTAGGGACTGATGTGAATGTACAATAGATATATGTAAAGCGCTGCGTAAACTGACGGCGCTATATAAGTACCTGAAATAAATAAAATAAAATATACATTCACATCAGTATTTTACAAATACTTTACTTTTCAAGCAATTCACATCTATATATAATAAAACATGAAGCTTTTATTTTTGAATTTTTGGGACTGATCCTACTTTCTTAGCCAGCATATTTAAAATGTCCTGTTTTGTTGGAATATTGGATCTTCTTGTAGTATTGGCATAATGCTCACAGAAAAATATTACACCTATATCTACAGGTAATTTGTGATTCAGCTGCTCTCTACTCATTCCTAATCAAGCCAAATCCTGATCAGGTCAGTGACCAGAGGCAGATAAATCATTCCTTGGGACTGCAGATCCAGATGGCCAGAAAGAGCCGATGGAGCATCTGCCAAGAATTTGATCAGGTCAGAGAAACACATTTGATAGGGCAAAGTCAGAAGGTCAGGCACAACATTATATTCTCAGGTTATTTGCCCTTTTTATTTTGTGTTTCATGCAACCCGTATGTTTAATCTCTTTTAAAAATACTGGATTTTTCAAGCAATTTAAATTTATACATAATATATATATTTGAGTTTTTGTGACTGATCCTACTTTCCCAGCCAGCATATTTAAAGTCCCTATGTTTTGTTGGAATATTGAATATTCTTGTAGTATCAGGATGATGCTCACAGGAAAATATTACACCTATATCTACAGGTAATTTGTGATTCAGCTGCCCTCTACACTTACATAGACTCCTCATTTGTAAATCCTGATCAGGTCAGTAATCAAGAAGTAGGCTGATAAATCATTCCTTAGGACTGCAGATCCAGATGGTCAGAAAGAGCCCATGGAGCATCTGCCAAGAATTTGAACAACAGGTCAGAGAAACACATTTGCTACGGCAAAATAAGAAGGTCCTCTATCGTGATACTGTGGAAAAAATAAGGGAGGAT